AACAAACCCATCAGAGAGATAGCAAAAACATTAGGTGTGGCCAAATCAACTGTTTGGAACAGCCTTAAAAAGAAAGAACGCACCGGTGAACTCAGCAACACCAAAAGACCCGGAAGACCACGGAAAACAACTGTGGTGGATGACCAAATCATTCTTTCCCTGGTGAAGAAAACACCCTTCACAACAGTTGGCCAGATCAAGGACACTCTCCAGGAGGTAGGTGTATGTGTGTCAAAGTCAACAATCAAGACAAGACTTCACCAGAGTGAATACAGAGGGTTCACCACAAGATGTAAACCATTGGTGAGCCTCAAAAACAGGAAGGCCAGATTAGAGTTTGCCAAACAACATCTAAAAAATCCTTCACAGTTCTGGAACAACATCCTATGGACAGATGAGACCAAGATCAACTTGTACCAGAGTGATGGGAAGAGAAGAGTATGGAGAAGGAAAGGAACTGCTCATGAACCAAAGCATACCACCTCATCAGTGAAGCATGGTGGTGGTAGTGTCATGGCGTGGGCATGTATGGCTGCCAATGGAACTGGTTCTCTTGTATTTATTCATGATGTGACTGCTGACAAAAGCAGCAGGATGAATTCTGAAGTGTTTCGGGCAATATTATCTGCTCATATCCAGTCAAATGCTTCAGAACTCATTGGACGGCGCTTCACAGTGCAGATGGTCAATGACCCAAAGCATACTGCAAAAGCAACCAAAGAGTTTTTTTTAAGGGAAAGAAGTGGAATGTTATGCAATGGCCAAGTCAATCATTTGACCTGAATCCGATTAAGCATGCATTTCACTTGATGAAGACAAAACTGAAGGAAAAATGCCCCAAGAACAAGCAGGACCTGAAGACAGTTGCAGTAGAGGCCTGGCAGAGCATCACCAGGGATGAAACCCAGCGTCTGGTGATGTCTATGCATTCCAGACTTCAGGCTGTAATTGACTGCAAAGGATTTGCAACCATGTATTAAAAAGTGAAAGTTTGATTTATGACTGTTAATCTGTCCCATTACTTTTGGTCCCTTAAAAAGTGGGAGGCACATTTACAAACTGTTGTAATTCCTACACCGTTCACCTGATTTGGATGTAAATACCCTCAAATTAAAGCTGGAAGTCTGTAGTTAAAGCACATCTTGTTCATTTCATTTCAAATCCTTTGTGGTGGTGTATAGAGCCAAAAAGATTAGAATTGTGTCGATATCCCAATATTTATGGACCTGACTGTACATATAAACAAACAGACATCTTTGTCTACAATAAAATTGTACAAATACAGCTGTGTTTTTTTTTAAATTCAGAATGTCTTGAACAAAGAATATGCATATTTAAGCATCAGACGTGTTATCCGTACAAGAAAGTGCAATATATAAATCAAACAATTAACTACGGGTCAAGGCGATTGAACAAGCAAAGAGACAAAAAAAAATGTTGCTTGGTTATGTCGATTGGCACAAAGACACGGTAACCATGGAAACATGATAGACAAGATAAATTTATTATTATTAGCATAAAATTCAGATTGAGAAAGACGTAGCCTTAGACTCTGATCATTTTAAAGCAATTTGGAACTAAAAGACAATCTTTGTCAGTGCTGTAAATCCATTGTGTGTAGTCATATATATATTATAGAATACGAAAAGAAAAAAATGCAAAAAAAATAGCTTAATGTAGATGAGCAGGAGTTTTTCTTTGTTTTATTTAATAGATCAGATTGAAAAACAAACATTTAAAAAAATGAACATATACAAGCATATTCTTAAAAAAAAAAAATCAGAATTTCTGCTCAATACCGACCTGACTAAACGAATATCATAATTTTAACATACATCAAAATAAAGTAATTGGGTGGAGTGTAAAAGTTGACTATAAGCCAGTATTAAAGAGGTACTCCAAACACCATGACTACTTCAGTTATTTGAAGTGGTCATGGTGCCTGAAGTGTGTATGTGCAGCGTTTCACTTCAAAACGATGCAGTTACAGAGATTAACCCTTCAGCTGCCAGATGTGTAACCTCTGCAGTGGGCTGTAGTGGTTAGGCGGCGTGGAGTAACCCTTTAAACCATTTTTAAAATAATTTACTTTTTTTATTTTGTGATAATTATTGGCCATGGTAAATTTTAAACCAGTTTGATTAACATGTAATAACATGAAATAACCAAATACTAAATAAACAACTTGCAGAAATACTTAAGGGACACTAGCCACCAGAACAGCTACCGCTTAATGTGAGGTGAGTATTATCATTCCCTTCAAGCATTTTCATGCAAACACTGCCTTTTCAAAGAAAAGGCAGTGTTTACATTGCCTCCCTCGGGATACCTCCAGTGGCCACTCCTCAGATGGCCACTAGAGGTGCTTCCTGGGGCAGTGCTGCACAGTAGGCAGCACTGCCATTCAGCATCTCCTCGCTCTGCATGGGTACACTGAATTTTCCTCATATAGATGCATCGATTCAATGCATCTCTATGAGGAGGTGCTGATTGGCCAAAACTGTGTTTGGCCCTGCCCCATCCTTCCTCCTTTTCAATTTTAGCCAATCCAATGCTTTCCCTATGAGAAAGCATTGGATTTGCTAAAAATCGTAAATTCTGATGATGTTACCAAGAAGGCAGATCCGGGGCAATGGCAGCGCCGGTGGACCTACGCGACGCTAGAATTAAGGTACGTTTTAACCCCTTCTAAGGGGGCTAAAGGGGGCCAGCCACCTATACGGTGGTTTTAACACTATAGGGTCAGGAATACATGACTCTATAGTGTTCCTTTAACTAAGGACCCCTGTCCATGATTTTGTGTGACGAGACATTTGAAAATTTAAAAAACTGCAGTGAACTGATTGTCTAAGTGTTTGTGTCTGTCTATTCTAGATCGTAACATGCTACCCAGTGATCTAGGGAAATCCCTTAAACTAGAAGATAGTCACTAAAACAGTTCATTAGGGCAATGAGGCAACTTATCACCTATATGACCTGCTGTACAATTTGTGTTACCCATTGGCTAAAGAAGAAGTAAAACTCTGCAATTGCAATTTTCCTGATTGTTCGGGATGTTTTTCTCCTGCATATTGTGTAGCCTAGGGGACAATGAATTTTCATCTTTGATTTAGTAAATATAGTAAATTTCACACTGCACTTCATTCAGTATCCAATGTACAAAAAATGACAGCTAGATCGAAGAAACCAAAATCTTCTAAACCTTTTTAGCAACATTTGCTGCTAAATAAGTGGCCTTTAGCAAATAACCTTCTCAGGTGCCCATAAATAAACACAAAACAGCTTTAAACGTATTTAAGTAACATTAATTATTTGTATTGGACTTGTGGAGCTTTAAATGAACATAGCTTTCCATTCAATATGAATAAAGTTTGTAAGAAAAAAATAAATGAAAAGAAACGAAAGTGGTGGATAAATTAAATGTCCTCATTGTAATAAATCATAATCATGCTGAAGGTTACTGAATCTTTTACAGAAATAGTAAATCATGAAATGAATGAACACTATAGTCTAGACTAGGAATAGAAACTAGTATTCCTTGACTATCAGGGGCATACCTAGAGCATTTGGCACACGTTGCGGATTCTGTGTGTGGCACCCCCTGCCCCCATCCCCAAATGTATAAAACACCCGCAGCATTTTTAAAAATGTTTTCTTTTTTTATAATGTATTGCACAAATTTGTAAATGTTGTAAAATCCCTGTCTGCACCTTCTACAAAATCCCTGTCCTGTCCCCTCTACAAAACCCCAGCACCCCCTTCCACAAATCCCCTGCTCAGTCTCCATTACACAAGACCCCTGCCACCTTCTACAAAATTCTAGCACCCCTACACACACAGTTACAGGCAGACATTCACACACACAATTACAGGCAACAGTCACACACACAGTTACAGCCAGACAATCACACAAAGTCAGAGACAGACAGTCACACACACACACACACACACACACACAGTTACAGGCAGCATCGCACAATCACAGGCAGACAGTCACACACACATTGTCACATTTAGATAGTCACACATACAGTCACAGGCAGTCACACACAGTTGCAGGCAGACAGTCACAAACACACACACAGTCACACACAGACAATTACAGGCACAAACACATACAGTTGCAGCCAGAGAGTCACACACACAGTTACAGGCAGACAGTCACATATACAGTCACACACACACAGTTACAGGCAGACCGTCACATACACACACACATAGTCACATGCAGACAATCACATTTACAGTAACAGGCAGAAAGTCACAGGCAGTCATGAACACAGTTACAGGCAGTCCCACACACAGTTACAGGCAGACTGCCACACACACACACACACACACACACACACACACACACAGTTAGAGGCAGACAGTCACACACACATACACACACACACAGGCAGACATTCTCACACACACAGTTACAAGCAGACGGTCACAGACACACACAGTGACAGGCAGACAGACAGACATACACAAACACAGTTACAGGCAGACAGTCACACAGAGACACACACACACAGTTACAGGCAGTCACACACACACACACACACACACACAGAGTTCAAGGAAGACAGTCAGACACACACACATATGCAGTCACACACACAATTACAGACAGTCACACACACACACTCACTTGCAGAGAGTTACACACACACACACACACACACACACACCCTGTGTCTCTCTCTCTCTCGCTTAATTACAGTATGGGCTGGAGGAGTGGATTGTCTTAAAGGGACACAGTAGGCACTGTATCTGCTTCATCTCATTAAACTGGTTATAGTGTCTGGAGTCCTCTGGTCCCATCATTTCTATCAGCATTAAACAGTTTTTAAAGTTTTAATGCTAAACAAGAGTCCCCGGGAATCCATCCCCTCTGTGCTGCTTTGGCTAATAAGGAAGTATTAGCCTGAGCAGCAATGGGCAGCTGTGATTGGCTGAGAGTGTCAGCTGACTGCTTTTAGCCTGTCAGAGTTCCAACTGATGGTATGAATGGGTATGACAACAAGGAAGTGTGTAATCTCTGCCTTAGCTACACATACTGAAGGGGCTGGACTGTGGGTGGCCAGGGACTCTTATTTTGTGGAATACTGCACGAACATGGTTCAACACTGAATGGAGGGACAATGGCAGGGCACTATAACCAATTCACAGAGATGAAATGCTTATAGTGACTACAGTGTTCCTTTAAGTTCCTCCCTGATGTCTGTTAGTTTGGAAAGCGCAGGGACTTCTTACTTTCCCTCTGTGTGCAGCCATAAAAGCCAGTTAGGCCCACTGCCAGTTAGGCCCCACCCCCACCGCCTGATTGGCTCCGCCCCATTTCCTTTCGTGCAGCTGGTTTAGAAGTAGCTGCATTTCTGGTCTCTGCTTGTGTGAGCTGTGTCGGCTGCCCGGTGCATCAGCTGCCATGGCAACCTGAGGCCCCACAGCTCACACATGCCTGGCCCTGGTCATAAAACCTGATGGCACCCGGGGCAGACCGCCCCCCCTCCCCCCCGCCCTCCCCTTAGTACGCCACTGTTACCTATAGTGTCAATGTCCCTAATTTAATATGTCCGCACCTTTTTACACTTACCTCGGGAGCCTCATTACTGGCTAGGACTCTTCCTCCCATGACATCATGATGTCATGATGAATAAGGAAGGAGGTTATATTACAGGTAGGGATGGAGGAGATGGATCTAAGGGAGAGTTGAAAGATGGATATAATAGAGAGATGGATTATGATGGATCTAAGAGAGAGTTGAGAGATTGAATGGTGTAAGGGGGATGCAGAGGGGAGAAAGGACAGAGAAGAGATGAAAGATAAGGAAGAGGGCAGTAACAAAATAATGGTTAAAGGGACACTAACGTCATCAGAACAACTACAGCTTAATGTAGTGGTTCTGGTGAGTGTAGTTAGTCCCTGCAGGCTTTTTAATGTAAACACAGCTATTTCACATGCTGCATTGCGTCAATGAAGAGATTCTGATGGGTGCAGAATGTCTCGATAGCCTCCCAATGCTTTCCTACGGGAAAGCATTACATTGGCTGAGATCGTCAAGTTTATTGGGTTATTTTTATTTAATCTCTGTAATAGAAATAAAATATTTATGTTCTTAAGTACAGCCTAAACAGCTTTTTCTGTGCGTCTCTCGATTTCACTATAAAGAGTATCTACCTCATGTCTTTTATTGTTGACCTAGTGGATTAGTTAGCTAGATCTCTCTATCAGACCTTTTCTGAAACTTAGCCACAGACGGCAAGTGTTCAGGAAGATTTCCACTTCAATGGTTGGTGTTATTTTGAGCACAAATTACTTGTTGGCTCCCCTCTTGCTTTATTTGAAATGGTTGATTTTTTTTCTTAACCAATAATTCTTTTATCTCCATGCTCCTTACTGTCCCATAAGTTTTACGTGTTTCCTCAATAAATTTATAGTCATGTCTCAGGACTGACTATAAGAAAAAATCAGAACATAATGTGGCACCTGCCGAGCAGACGGTAGACTCACTACTCTAGTCACTGCTAAAGAAGACTCAAATGTTTAATTGTTTGTGATACATTTCCCAGTCCGCCTGGCCACCACTCCTATAATCCAACAAAAACAACCTAGTTTTGTCTGCCAGGAGCAATCATTTTCTAAAGTTTACAACAGTTTCCACAGGTGTCACCGTACAAATTCTGTGAAAGTTTAGGTCATGTTGCCTAACAAAGGGAAATCACACTCATTCAAATTATGGTGAATGGATACTAATGACTCTGACCTCTTCTAGTCAAGGACAGATCCAATTCCCCAAACCTTTAGGTAAAGTAACACCTGCATCTTAGTGAATATATCTAAAACAGATTCTACTACTTGCTTTAGTTCACTTTACATCTAAGATTTTAGGGGGGACAAAAGGTGCTTAATGAATATACATTTTTGCAAAAAATATTGGGTTATTTTTATTTAATCTCTGTAATAGAAATAAAATATTTATGTTCTTAAGTATAGCGTGAACACCCAGATCGTACCATAGATGCAAATGTACAAGAGATAAAACACGGTAGCATCTCTTAAAAGATTTGCTTTTAGCCAATTAACAGTGGGAGGGAAAGAACCATCTGTCAGTAAGTTCCTGGCATTCTATACTAATTAAAAAAACAGTGTGCTTCCTTTTTAGGCAGGACCAAACGATATGCTGATAAAAACGAACTATCATGGTGTGTGTGTATATGTTAGTGTGTGATATCCTTAAATTATTTTAAACCTTTAAGTAGACACACAGATTTATCCACACTATTACACAGGACATGCAGTAAATCTAGCAATATAGTGATACAGTATCAGAAAAGCAAGAGATATGCATTTTAAAGGGAGCAAAACAAAGTAAGCATAATGCGGTTATGGTGTTTAGATCATGCCCCTGCAGTCTCAATGCTCAATTCTCTGCCATTTAGGAATTCATACAGCCTAAGTAACACCTTCTTGCATGTGACTTGCACAGCCTTCCTAAACATTTCCTGAAAAATAAATTAGATATTCTCGGTTCCTTTTTTGCACAGTCTGTTTAATAAAGAAGTTTGTATCTCCTTCCTTGTAATTGCCTTCTAAAACCTGCAGGAGAATCCTGTGTGTCATTAAAGGGATGCTATAGTCACCCAGACCACTTCATTTTATTGAAGTGGTCTAGGTGCAGTGTCCCTGTTCCAACTTAGTCCTGCAATGTAAATAATTGAAGTTTCAGAGAATATTCAATGATTACATTGCAGCATTAAGACTGTCTCTAGTTGCTGTCAATCATACAGCCACTAGAGGCCCTTCCTGAGTCCTGACAAACCTTTGACAGAAACAGAGATACATGATGGGATAACAGGGATTGGCGGGAAGGGATTACCAGCAGGATGGATGGATAACAGGGACTGGCAGGGAAGGGGTTCTAGATGGATTGGTGGATAACAGGGACTGATGGGGAAGAGGTTACCAGAGGAATGTGCGAATAACAGGGAAAGGGTTTACCAGAGGGATGGGTAGATAACACGGACTAGCAGAGAAGGGGTTACCAGAGGGATGGGCAGATAACAGGGACGCCACTTGCGGCACTCACCCTCAGTCCGTCGCCGCCCGCGGTCTCCCCTCCTCCTACCTGTCGGCGAGCGGTGTCTACTCCTCGCCGCTCGCGTCCCCCACACCTCCCAGCGGCAGCATGTATAACGCTGCACGCTGGGAGGTCGTAAATTGCGTGACCCGGCGTTAAAGCAACAGTACCACAATCACAGTGGGAGACGTAGATATCTCCCACGTGTGATTGTTAATTCTGATTGGAACTTATCCAATCAGAATTAAGCAAAGTGTATTTATACTTACCTTTCCTGTCTCTCAGTGCCCTGTTGTGGTCTTGTGATACCTGTATTGCAGTTTGCTCGTGTTTCTCTCTGGTTACCGATTATTTGGCTCATTATTCCGATTATCCTGTCTTCTCCACTCCTTTGACCTCGGCTTGTTTCTCGTTCTCCCGTTTTCTGGCTCCCTTTACTTGGCTTGTCTCCTGACCATTCTTAGTGTGCTTAGCCCGGCCACTCTAAGGACCGGTACAGCATCTTTCCTCTCTGTGTCCCGTTAGTGTGTTAGGTTCCAGAATCGTGACACCTTGTGATTGTGGGGTCCTCGCGATCACATGGCCAGAATAAATGGCTTGTGCAGTGCCTGCAGGGGGCCTGTCTGAGCTCTCTTAGTCTCCCTAATGCCTGCACAAAAGTTAAAAAAGTTATTAAAAAGTTTTAAAAAGTAAATAAAAGTACTTAGATCATATATATATGTATATACATAAATGTATACATATATATATATATATATGATCTAAGTACTTTTATATGCACATACAGATACATAAAAATTATTTTAATATTAATCTATATAATTATATATATATATATAAATAATAAAATACACTTAGAATAACATTAATTACATATATTTATATTATATATATATATATATATATATATATATAAAATAAAAAGAATCAATAAATAAATTGTGAAATAAAATAAAATAAATAATAAAATTTAATTTAAAAAAATTATATATTGATTTAAATTTGTTCTAAATGTATTTTGATATTAATATACATATATATTTAAATCAAAATACATTTAGAATGACTTTATAAAAAACAACCGCAAACCCTACCTCTAACCCTACTCTTAGCCCAACCCTAACCCTACCCCTAACCATACTCCTAACCAGTGGTGTACCCTGGTTTTGTGCTGCCCTAGGTGGCTCACACCTAATACGTTCCTGCTCCTAACCCTACTCCTAACCCTACTCCCATCCCAACCCTAACCCTACTCCTAACCCTACCTTAACCCTAACCTTACTCCTAACCCAACCCTAACCCTACTCCTAACCTAACCCTAACCCTAATCCTACCCCTAACACTACTCCTAACCCTACCCCTAACCCAACCCCTATCCCTAACTCGATCCCAACTCCAATCCTACCCCTAACCGTTTTGCCACTTTTTAGAAGTCTGAAGCACTTCGGCACTTCAGAAATTCAGCACTTTGGCAATTTGGTTCGGTTCGGCATCTCCAAAATTCGACACTTTGGAAATTCGGCAATTCGGCACTTTGGCAATTCGGTTCGGCACTTCGGAAATCCGGAAATTCGGCACTTCGGACATTCGGAAGCATCCGAATGTCCGAAATTCCATTTGGACCTAACCGAATTGCACATGTCTAGACCTGAATAAGTTCCCAATAATTGGTAATATCTGAGGTGTTTGTGGTGTGCTGCATCTCTGTATTCCTCTTAATACTGTTTTAATTTGATATGAGGATAAGAATGTTTGCTTGTTTTTTTGTTTGGATATAGTGACAGCATGTGATGTTGTAACCCTTTGAGATACAGTTTAATTGTTTTATAAGATAGTTGTGATTTCAGGTGGCAAAAGAAAGTGAAAGCTACTTAAGATTCCATAGAGAAAGTGTCTACCACATGAAATTCTTTAGTAAACCTAATGAAAATGTTGACAACTCTTTTGTATGACCATCTAGTGTTGTTAGCCAGGGTTCATTGTGACAGTACTCTGCCAGGAGCTGACCTAATCCATGGTTCATTGTTACAGTACCTTGCCAGGAAGTGACCTAATCCATGATGAGGTCTTGAAATTGAGGGGCCGGAGTTGCCATTGGAGAGGCACTGGGGTAGAGTTGCAGGAATTCCTGAAAATGGAAGCGAGATAAATGGTCAACCACCGTTTTGTAACTACAGGGAACATGTGTACACCAGATAAAGAATTGATGAGCAGTAGCTAACCAAGTTAAGTGTCTAATGAACCTCATGATAACGAGAGAAGGGGAACAACCCGGCATGCAGCTTGATTGTCAGAAAAGCACCGGACTATTTGTCCAGACCAAGAGTGTCTGACAATAGGATAAAGAAAACTGATTATGTTGTTGGGACCTTCTGTTTTGTAAGGCGAAACCGGGACACCCAAACTCTCATACAGCTGTATGGTATCCTGTAGACTATGTGGCAGATTATCACTATGATGAGAAAATCGTCAAAATAGTGAAGTACTGATGGACATCTACATGACTTAAAAAGTGACCAGCATAAGGCTTTGGCAAAAGTATAAAAAAGTTTGGGGCTACTTTTTGAACCGAACGTCAGCCTTTTTAAAAAATAATACTGGTTTCTCCACTTAACACCATGAAGATGCCATAGAGAAGGATGAATTGGGAGTAATTTAAAGGCATGTACAATGTTTGTTAAACTTAACCATGCCCCAACACAGGCTGATATGATATCCTGGACCGCATTGTCTATCGTGGCATATTGTAGAGAGAATTTCTCGGATAGAATTAAATAATTGAAACTGTGGATGGTGACGGAGTGAGGTGCAGAAAGATTGATAATCAGCCTCTTTTTTAAAGAATGTTTTCCCATGACAACACCTAATGTATTCATCCGCCAAATAGCAAATGGAGGTGTGGGAAAGGGGCCTAGGATGAACCCTTGATCCAATTTGTGTAGTAAAATGTGTCTACTGAGCCTGGGTCATTGATGGCCGACTGAAAGTTTTTACATTTCGTAATACCAGTAGGTAAGGCCAAAACGCCAGTGTGGAAACTGTGAGAAAACATTGAAATAAAGAAATCCACTAATTGTGGAGATAGGTGTGACGTTAACAGTTGAGACAACTTAATAATATTAACAGATGTGAAATACTGTTTGGGATGTAGTTTATTGGGGCACATTGTCTTAGAATGTGCTCGGAAACATTGAGTAAAGATATGTAATAACCTACAGGCTCTGAACCCACAAGCACCCGCATTAAAATTGTTACATATTTGGGATTTCCCAAGGAACACTATTGGTCTGCCAAGCTTATTTTTAATGACTTTCTCAGACCAGGGTGGAAAACCAGGGGGTTTTTGGACCAAAACTGGGGCGTCAATGGGACAGAAATTAGTCGCGTGGGAGGTTGAAGAACACAAAGCACAGGCTGGTGTCCTCAGGCGGGTGAAATGCCTACAGAACAACTCTGTATCCAGTTTTCTCCAGTTAATGACCGTATTAAACGGGGCCAGAGTTGCCGTTGCGTTGACCGTGAATGACCTATGATAATCATAAAAGGAGACCAAGAATGACCTATGACCAAGAATGATCTATGATAATCATAAAAGGCGTATCCGCATACGTCTTATTCTCCACGATATCCTGGGAAGCAATAAGAAGCGAAACCAAGTTCACGTCTTTACCTTCCAGGATATCTTTGCGGATCTGAGGTGGCACCATATGAGTTGGTGTTATCATGAGGGTATCAATTGGGGATATGGGGCCTGCTAAATTACCCTGTAAAATAGCTGTAGTAGCCGCTAGAGATGTAGCATCTGACAAAGTCGGTTTAGTTGCTAAGTGGCCCGACTCTAATCTATCATGCCTATCTCTAATTTGGACCATGGATGATAGGAGAGAATTCATCATGCTTTGACCAAGAATAACCTATGATAATTATAAAAGGAGTATTCGCCGTATTTGTGCCTCGGGTCCACCAACATATGAATATAAGTGTCAAATTCTTCTCTCCTGTGTGACAAATTAGTACACACCACATCCCTATAGATCCCAAATGCCAGTACAAATTCGGGAATTGTACGTTTTTTACTAAGTCAGGGATCTCTAGCTTTGAGGACCACAGATAAGTCCCCGTAAGCATACGTCTTATTCTCCACGATATCCTGGGAACCAATTAGAAGCGAAACCAAGTTCACGTCCTTACCTTCCAGGCTATCTTTGCGGATCTGAGGTGGCACCATATGGGCTGGTGTTATCATGAGGGTATCAATTGGGAATATGGGGACTGCTAAATTACCCTGTAAAATAGCTGTAGCAGCCGCTAGAGATGTATCATCTGACAAAGTCGGTTTTGTTGCCAAGTGGCCTGACTCTAATCTATCGAACCTATCTCTAATTTGGCCCATGGATGATAGGAGAGAATTCATCATGGTTTGTAAGTCCAGTGGGTTGATGTTTCCGCTAGACCCTTCCCCTGCTTCTAAGTTGTCAGTGTGTGT